TTGCTTCTGGTATCGAAAGTGTCAAAAACTGTTCTGAATTTTTTCTTCTAAATCAAAGCGTGCCATGTGAAATACAAAAAATTATAAAAAATAAAAAATTGAAATTGGAAAAAATAAAAATTGATGCAACTTTCTTTCCTAGTAAATTTGTTTGCTTCTCGAAGCATTGATCCATCCTTTACAAGGGCCAGTAATCAGCGGTTGTGCTGCTGAGTTGGGCGAACGTTCCAAAAGCTGCTATTCAATCGCTTGTTTTGTATGGAAAAAGGTTTCACATGCAAATGGATTTTAACAATTCAGAATTTTTGTGAGAAATTTTCGAGACCAAATAATTTGAAATAAATCAAATCAGCTGCTCTACTGATACTACATGTTCAATGTACATTGATAGATACGTAAATTACAACTAGCAGTGTTGCCATACTGTCTGCTTAACATCTACATGTATACTCAACAACTCCCTCCTAAGGATATTTATATACATATTTGCATAAATTGAGTTATACTATTTTTGTAATTCATTGTATGTACTTATAAGTTAATATTTTAAACAAACTACGAACTATATAGACTAATTTTCAGATATCTAAATTGAATAAAATTATGCATATGAATATTTTATGATTATTATTTCAATTTCATAGTTTCGAAAAAGTAACGACTTCAATTGTTCTGATTACCATTTTTGTTAGCTTGTTGAAGAGCAATGTGTTCATTGATTTTCTCTTTAGCTCTTGCAACTGTTTGCCTTGTTTTAGGTCTTTGAATAACATTTGAAATGGAATCGCTTGCATCTTCGTATACATTATCCTCTACTGCGGAGTTATTGATCTTAACCAGCGGCTCATCAACCTTCACGATAGCTGTTGGTCCCGGCGCCCTACTCGTTTCTCCGAAAGGTTCCTCAGAAAATGTTTCAGTATCACTATCGGATTGATAATTTGATCTAAATGTCTCTTAATGCATGTATAATTTCTTGGGCCTAATTTCTTTTTTATTACAGCAGGAGACCACACTGATTTATTTGGATTTTTGTAGTCTCGAACATAAACGTTCTGCCCAACAGAAAAATCCACATTACGTCTGCCTTTAAAATTTTTAATTGCATTTCTTTGCATTGACTCAATGATATCTTTGGTGGTTGGTGGTTTCATTAGACTAAATCGAGATTTTAGTTCGCGATTAAGCAAAAGTTTTGATGGAGATTCATTGGTTGTGCAATGTTTTCAAATTCGATAATCAAAAACGAATCGCTGTAAAATTACATAAAAATTATATACGTCATTTCGTTCTAAAGTTGCTACAAGATATTTTTTTGTTGTTTTCATAAAATTTTCTGCTCGTCCGTTAGTGGACGGCTGACCTAGTGCAGTGAGGCTTAGTTTAATGCCACAGAAGTAAATTGCCTTCCGTTGTCACTCACCAATACATCACACAAACCAAAGCGACTGAAAACTTCTCGTAATTTATTTATCGTGAAAGAAGTTGTTATGACCTTAGATTTGTAAACTTCCGGAAACTTCGAAAAAGAATCAATGACTAAAAATAAGTGATACCCATGAACAGGATCTGCAAAATCCGTGTGAATACGTTTCCATGCTGAATCTGTTGGTGTCCAGGGAATTAAAAAACTTTTCTCACACTGAACCAAAAATTCATCTCTGGATCAAAGAAAAACTTTCCTTACTTTAAGGTAGAAAATTCTTCCGAATGAGTAAAAAATTCTCCCGAATGCGTAATTTTTCTTTGGAATGTGTAAAAACGTACAAGAAAATATGGAACCGTGGATGTAATCTATCATTTTGAAGAAATGTTGGGCATGATAAGAGGATAAACTCCTCTAGAGCTGATTCGTTCCCATTTTTCTTCATTTTGATAGCTGTTTTTCTTCAATTAAGAGAAGTTTTTTTTTGGGTGCAGGATTAGCCTGGTATTTTAGACATGGTTCGCAACTCTTTATCAACTTTTCGATATCTAGACGTACCATCTAGCCAATGATTTGGTTTTGGCTATACCTAAATGGGATTTATGTAGTTATGTAACACACTTGCTTGTAATTTGCTCGGAGTAACCGTACGGTAACCCCATAAAATGCATCCCGATTCAGCAGTCAGTTCAGATGCTTTCATTTTGAATGCATGAAATTCAGTACCATTTAATTTAAAAACTGTGCCATTCAAAATGGAATCTGAGACCTTCGATAGAATCGCATCACGACGTGTGTACTTTGCTATTGTTGAAAAATCTAACTGAAGGGAATTCACAAAGTCCACATAATTGATGTATGTGCTTTCAAGCTTTGTGTCCGTGTTTTCAATTTGGCCTATACGTGATAAACTATCCGCACTATTTAGAGTACCTTTAATATACGCGATGGTATAATTGAACCCCGATAAAATGAATCACCGATCACCGAAAATAGCGAGCAATGGTCTATGATCAGTTTGAAGTGTAAAATATATACCCAGTAAATACTGTTTTAATTTGATCACGCTGAAAATTATAGCTAATACTTCCTTCTCAATAGTGCTATAATTCATTTCAACATTATTTAATGCTCTACAGCTGTGATTCCCAAAGTGGACCAGGTGACGTGAAAAAATTTGGGGGTCCATGAGTTGTAAATGGGGGTCCACGAAAATTTATCTGGATTCGATGTAAAGATCCGAAATGGTTGCTTGATAGCCTCTTTATTTAACTTTAATTTTTTTGAGTGGTGCAAAGTGCTCTTGACGCACTGCTGCACTTACCCTCACTTTGTGTTTTCATACGTGGGAAGCCTTAAAGGCCACCTGCAGACTAAAAATAACCGGATGCTGGTAGGACAATGAGTGGGGCGCGGCGAAAATTGATGGCGGCAGAGATTTAAGTACTTGTGCCTTTTCAATGCTACAGGATAGTACGCCACCATTACCTTTGTTGAAGAGATTCTATAATGTTAGTTCCCTGAGACTGAATGCTGGTTTGATTCCATGGCTGAGACCGGACTCACACATTGTCGAATCTTCACTGATGGCTCCAAAAGAGACTCTGGGTCATGATCTGGAGTCTTTTTCGAGGTTAATGGAGGTAAGCTTCAATTTTCTGTAGGGGAATATGCTTCGGTCTTCCAGGATGAGGTAATTGCAATACTCAAAGCCATGGACTACGTGATGGTACATAGGTGGAGGCGAAGGAGTTTACGTGACTCCTGTGACAACCAAGCTGCACTTAAGGCATTGACCAGCCCTCTATTTAAGTATGTACTTGCAAACTAGTTCGGCAATGCAAGTCTCGACTAAAATATGATGGTAAACATAACTAGGTGGTTTTACTCTGGGTGCCAGGTCACTATGGAGTACCTGATTATGAGACATATGATAATTTGGCCAGAGTTGGCTCAGACCAGGCATTCCTCGGTCTGCAACAAGTTTTAGCACTCCCACCTTCGGCAATCGAAGCCACCATCAGAAACTTGGTGAATACTTCGCTCAGAAATGACTGAGAGGCATCGAGGGTATCAGGTAGGCAAAACTCAGGTTGCCTTCAATCTCACAAGGCTTATCTAATTCTTTGCTCTCACTGAGCAGACGACATTGCAGACAACTTGCTGGACTGCTGACTGGTCTCTTCACGTGGCACAAACACGTGACTGTGTTAGGCGTAAATGACAAGTTCATTTGCCCATCTTGCCTTGAAGAAAATAAGACGGCCGAACACTTTTTTGCTTCTTGCTTGCTTGGTTGTTTGCCATCGATTTTATTAAACTCGTTCTTTTCTCTATTGTGAATCTCTGAATTAAAATTTTGGTGTGTGTTTAGCCGTTTTGATGTTTTAAGTTTTGTGTTTTAAAAATGTGATAAATATTTTTCGCCTCACTTTAAAACTCGGTGCGATAAAAATAAAAATGACGCCATTAAGACAAATAAACTATTTTACATATACTCCTCGTGCAAAGTCATGAGTGAGCAGAACATTTGATGAGTTTATGGTGAAGATAATGTAAATAACGCTAGCACTCGCAGTGCTCTTAAAAAGTATAGCTCTTCCGAGCGAGAGTGTATTTTGATGTATTTACGAACTCTAAACCTACAAGTGTGTAATCACATTATTTTTATAAACAGAACGCAAGAAAATATTTTACTTTTATTTTGGCCACTCTGAGTTTAGTTTTTGAATTCACCCGCGAAGCAAATTTACATTGTTAGATCTAATTTTCACATATAATTTTTTTACGAGCTTTGGGAATATTTAGAAATATATCAGCACAGGGTCCACCGAAACCAGTAAATTTTTGAAAGGGGTCTACGAGAAAAAAAGTTTGGGAACCTCTGCTCTAGAGACATAAGCGATTGGTCTCATTGTTCCGTCTTCATATTTATGAGACAAGACACCAGCGATTGCTGTGTTGCATGCATCGGTGGATAGAACTATTGGTAGTTCCTGATTAAAATGAACTAAAACTTTATCAGAGCAAATCTTTGATTTCATTATTTCAAATGCTTTTTGACATTGAGAATTCCATTTAAATTCAACGTCTTTTTTCAGTAAATTATACAAAGGAGACATTTTCTGAGCGAAATTTGAGATGAACTTTGAATGATAATTTACCATTCCAATGAAAGCTCGAAGTTCTGAAATGTTTTTTGGTTTTGGTGCGTTGAGCACATTCTTGGTGCGGTCTTGGTTCCTAGCTAGACCATATTCTGTGAGTTAAAATCCCAAATAAGAAATGCCATCCTCGCCGGCAATGTGATGTTTTATAGCCGAAGGTTCAGCAAAGAAGAAGGAATGTTCTTTATTTCAAACAGGAAGTAACCTTAATGCTAACTACGAATTTCAGTGCATAGATACGTAAATGACAACTATCAGTGTTGCCATACCGTGCGCTTAACATCTACATGTATACTCAACAATAAATCTTAATGTCTTCTTAAAAAGTTAATTTCAGAATTCCGTACGATTTTAAATATATCGACCCATATACATAACTCGCATAATTTTATAATTTTTTTAAATAGATGTTCACCGGTGATGAGCTGATATTGCCAATGTCGTTGAGTAAAAAAATGCACTGTCTGAGTTTCAATAAGAACAAACAAAAGTTGGAGGATCGAGAAAGAAATTTAGCAGTGGTACAGTGGGCACAATTTATTGAGCATGATCTCAGTAAACCTGTAGTTACTTCGATGGGTAAGTGTCTATATAAGTTACCATCGTATTAAAACTTTGTAAAATTATTTAATTTTGTAGGGGATGGAAGCCATATTGAATGCTGTAATAAAAATAACTTTGAACTGGGTCCACGACATCGTCATCCTTTTTGTGCGCCTCTGATAATAAACAGTGGAGAATCTTTGTACGGCAAAGCCGATTGCTTGAATTATGTGCGGAGCGCTGTAGCTGTCAGTACAAAATGTACATTCGGTGCAATAGAACAAGTAAAGCTCAGTTTAATTTGCATGCATACATACATAGTTGTATATGTATATACATAGATATTAATTAAAATAACTTAACATTGCAGTTAAATCTAGCGACATCCGGTTTAGACCTTTCACAACTTTATGGTTTTACACATGAAGCACAAAAGCAAATGCGTTTATTGCAAAAGGGTCAAATAAAAAGCAGTGCAAATGGTAGCCTATCAGAGATTTACACTGATAAACTGCCTAAGATAAATGACAACGCGATCCACTACTGTGCTTTTGAAAATTATTCCAATCAAACCGGACACTGTTTCATGGCGGGAGATTCCCGCGTTAACAATAATCCGCTTACCATCGTAATTTATACAATGTTTATGAGAAACCATAACCAAGTAGCCAAAAATCTGGCTTCAAGCTATCCACTATGGAACGATGAGGACCTTTTCCAAACTGCAAAAGCAATCAACATACACATCTATAGGAATATTGTATTTGACGAGTGGTTGCCTATTATATTGGGTGAAGATACTGTGGTGAAAATAAAGCAGGGATCCCTTAGTAAGGCCCATGAAGAGGATGACAGAGTTTCAAATGAATTCGCTGTCGCCGCCATACGATTTTATATTTCGATGCTGCCGAATGTCTTAAATAATTCAACTGGAGCTAAGCGCCTGGAATACAATACAACCAACTCTTCATTTGGTCTAACTAGGTAGGCTTTTTTATAATAGATATTATCAAATTTCAGTCTCAATAGAGGTTATTTTTTTACAGAAATATCCTTCCCAGCGAAAATGTAATATCATTGATTGATCAAACATACAAACCTAAATTGGAATATACGTCCAAGAAAATCGATGCATTAATCGAATCCATTTTAAATCAACCTGCTATGAAACTGGATACTATATATGATGACAGTGTAAGTAACGTTAACTGTAAGACACAAAAGAACATAACATTTTCGTCAATACAGCAGACCCTTTTTGTAATTTTTTATATACTTATAAGTTCTAAGTTATTATAAGTTGCTCTAAGATGCACCTGCTTACAAAAACCAAATCCTAAACTATACGAATAGCGCTGTAACCATTTGCTAAATTAATTTGAAAAGTTTTCTACTTCTGTAAAATGTCAGTTTGGTCTAATTCAATTCTCTTGCATAGACTATAAAGAAAGGTACTAATCAAGGCGAATTTATACCAAGTGGTGTTACTAGCGAATTTAGATTTTCGCCGCAGTACTTCTTAATGTCAAAATGATGTGTTTGTTGTAATATGAATTCGCCTTGGTTACAACAAACACATCATTTTGTCATTAAGAAGTACCGCGGCGAAAATCAAAATTCGCCAATAACACCACCTGGTATAAATTCGCCTTGGTACTTATATATAGGTTCGTTACACTCTAAAGGTCTGATTATGCATACTTCGCATAACTTCGCACAACCATTTGTACCAGCGCAATAAAAATGTAATTTAAGAAAATGTGAAGCAAAATCTAAACTCAACAGATCGCTAAGTTTTTAAAAGTTCTGCTAATTTATGGGTAATGGAAACACACACAAAATACATACAAAGTACATACGGAATTACAGTTTGAAATTTATGCGAAGTTATGCGAAGTATGCATGATCAGACCATAAACCAGTGGTCAGCAGGCCATTGCGCACTTAGCGTTCTTTGAGCACATGCGTGTTTCACACGTATACGAAGAGCGCAAGCACACAGTCTCACTTGCCGTCAAGGCGAATTTATACAAGGTAGTGTTACTGGCGAATTTAGATTTTCGCCGCGGTACTGCTGAATGTCAAAATGATGTGTTTGGTGTAATAAGAATTCGCCTTGTTTACAACCCACCACCAAGCCGAATTTGTACAAGGTGGTGTTGACAGACAAAAAAAATAAAATTACAACAACAAATTATACGCGCATTGACAATCAGTACACTGTAAAATTACAACAAACACATCATTTTGACAAAAGGTACAAATTCGCCGTGAAATCAGCGGATCCGAGAATACCACCTTGTATAGATTTGCCTCGAACACCACTTTGTATAAATTCGCCTTGCTTACCGTGGAAAAACAATGCCGGCGAACGGCGAACTCATCACAGCGGAGATCCCGTTGTCAAAATTAGAACACCCGCCGCCATATGAAATTCAACACAGCCAAAGCGAAATGAGAAGTTTGCTCGGCGGCGTTTCGTGGCGATAGATTTATTTCTATCGCTCTGCTGGGCAATGGCGGCAGTACATGCCAAAGGTGACCGTATGTTTCTTTGTTTTCAAAGATTTTGAAGAAAACAACATATAACACGAAATATTTTTATTTGTTGAAAAATACAGTGATCGATTGGTTAAATCTGGCTTAAAATAAAATTATTTATAATAATTCCTCCTTGCCTTATATTTATATTTGTTATCATTTCATCATTTCTAAATATGGTTTCGTTTTCAAAAATATGGTCACCTAAATTATAAGTGCGACGAAATGGTATCAGCTGTTTTCGCAACCGCTCTAATTCTGTTAAAGTATGCGAAATAGCAGGGCGAACGGTGAACGACGGAATCACCCAATTCGGCGAACTTCGCAATTCGCCGGGTATTGTGTTTCAAGCATTAGAGTGGCCACACACGACCAACATGTGCGCGAGCATCCGCGGCTTCCGGTGCATGTTCGTCGCTTGTGGCTCGGTTCACGAGAATTTTCGCATAAAATGAAAAAATTTTGATTTTTAGTGAGCATACTCGTCGTTTGTGGCGTGGTTTGCGAACATTGCATTTGAAACAAAAACAATAACCTCATTTGGTGCTGATGCTTGCAGTGTGCACATCGGCGGATAAATGAAACCAAGCCATGTGCCTTAATTGAATTTTGGGTAAATAACACTAAATCTATTATATATTTGTGAAAGTATGTATGTATGTATGTGCCAGGTTGAAGTCTAAACGGACGGACAGAATCGAACAAAATTTTGACAGAGTATGGCCATGACACCTAGGCCTATAATAGGGTGAAAACAAATTGGGATCCGACAAGGGGCCTTGGCACCTCCCATAGGCGTGGAATTTTTCATCAGCTATAACTTCAGAACCATAAGTCACACGAACTTTAAATTTGGTATGCAGACATATCAATGGTAGGTGCTTATACGAGGGTATATATAAACGAGTTTGTAAAAAGGAGCGGGGCACATCCCATAGGCGTGGAATTTTTTATCAGCTATAACTTCAGAACCATAAGTCTCACGAACTTGAGATTTGGTATGCAGACATATCAATGGTAGGTGATTATAGGAGCGAATG